GAGACTGTCCCTCCAAGATGAACGACAAGTCTCCTGTTCTTCCAACATTGGTAACCATGACCACGATCATTCCATAACCTTAAAGGTATACTGTGGATGGTTGTCGGTTGCACGTACACGCCCATAAACATCCCAAACACAGAAAATAAGAAAATACAGGCAGATGGCAGAGTTTCTGCAGAAAAATACATAGCCACACACTTTTATTCGTTCAGAAGTGGTGACTGAGGAGGATTACTTACATTGTTTTTAGAAAAAAACCTGCGTAGTATACTTTTAACTATATGTATATTGTTGGAACCATAACAGCAGATGTCCCCTTACCTTAAGGTAGTAGTATTTTAACCCCAGTGCATGATCTTTCCTTAAACCTAGCCAAACCTTAACCACAGCGTTGTCCCATCGTAAAACTGATTTATCATTTGACAGTAATGGAAAACACAGAGAAACTATGTCTTCCTGACATAAGTGTCAGATCAGAAACACAACAATAATGCATTTTGTTGTGTTAATTGAAGGACTTGTTGCCAAAATCCCAACAATGCATCAGGGCGATCCGATCGTCCATCGGCGATAGAAGGGTTGTTTCACGATGTCTTCTTTAAATGACAATGCAATCGCGAGGTGTGGGGGGAGACAGCATGTGTGTGGAGCATGCTGACAAGATCGAGGCTGAACGAGGCTGAGTGAGAGGAGACAGAGGGAGGCTGCTTAGTGAGAGAGCGGGGGGTGCACTTCCGCGTTGTAGTTTTCTGTAAAAATGTCCGTGAAAAATCCCTGCGATGTGAAAAATACATGCCGAGCAGTCACTGGTGCACGGAGCGGAGTCCGCGTGGTCGTAAAATCTGAGCTTTGCGCGCACAGGGCTTGTGGACGTCCGCTTTGAGTCCGCACGGACCTCCGCGGAATCCGTTCCGCATATGTTCCGCCCGAGTATGTTCGGGCCTTAACGCACATGTCGCGGAGCTGTGAACAAACCAAACAACACACTGTCAGGAGAAATTGAAAAGATATGCCTTCTATGTAAAGTCAACTTGCTAATTAAGGAGCCATTACATGTTCAAGAGTTTTATAAAGCTGCTGAAACGCCAAAGAGAGGCTATAAGTGAACGTTTCAGCGGCGACGCGTAATGACCCCCCCCCGGTGATGACATTGTTCATTGGCGATTTCACTAGATGGCGATAGGACGATAGGATATGGACAAGATTGCCTAACTCTAGTTGATTTAACTTGTGTATGGCAGGTATGAAACAGAAAAAAGGGTTATATGTCATGAATGCGTTCTAAGGATCAATTTAAAAAAAATGTCAAGAATCAAAGCTGGATTTCCATTTCTAATAAGATTCATGATTTTGTTTACAAAATCTTTGATCAAATACACATAATCCATCAAATATATGGGCAATATTTGATCATTGATCCATCTATTAACATCCATCCATTTTTATCCACTTATCCAGGGCCAGGTCGCAGGGGCAGCAGGCCAAGCAAAGCACCCCAGACATCCCTCTCTCAAACGTTTTCCAGCTCCTCCTGGGAGACCCCAAGGTGTTCCCAGGTCAGATGAGATATGGAATCTCTCCAGGGTGTTCTGGGTCTGCCCCGGGGCCTCCTACCAGTGGGACATGCCCTGAACACCTCTAACGGGAGGCACCCAGTAGGCATCCTGATCAGTTGCCCGAACCACCTCAACTGCCCCCTTTCTACATGAAGGAGCAGTGGTTCTATCCAAGTTCCCTTTGGATGTCCCAGCTCCTTACCCTATCTCTAAGGCTGGGCCCAACCATCCCATGGAGGAAACTCATTTCAGCCACAATCTCATTTTTTCTGTCACTATCCAAAGCTCATGGCCCTCATAAGTGAGGGTTGGGACGTAGATGGACCAGTTAATCGAAAGCTTCGCCTTCTGGCTCAGCTCCCTCTTCACCACCACAGTCTGGCGCATCGCCTGCATCATTGCAGATGCTGCACCAAACCGACCGATCCATCTCACACTCCATTCTACCATCACTCGTGAACAAGACCCCCAGATACTTGAACTCCCCTGCTTGAGGCAGTAACTCTCTCCCAAGCCAGAGGGGGCAATCCGGTTTCCAGCAAAAAACCATGGCCTCAGATTTAGAGGTGCTGACTCTAATCCCAACCGCTTCACACACGGCTGCAAACCACCCCAGTGCATGCTGGAGGTCACGGTGTGATGAAGCTAACAGAACCAGCTCATCTGCAAAAAGTAGAGATACAACTCTGAGGTTCCCAAAGCCGACCCTTTCCTCCCCCTGGCTGCACCTCTAGATGCTATATTAGCTATATTTGATCAAATAGCTAATATCATGGTGCTTTCACTGAAAAGACCTCTTCTCAGGACAGTGTGGGCATGTACAGAGTGTGTTTGTCCTGAATCCCTTGTTAGCGTTGGTGAAGAAGCCATGGTGGGTCAAACTACATCTTTATAATGCTTGTTGGTACATGAATTCAGGTGACCTCATTAAGCTCCACCCACCTTCAACCCCGGCAGAGGTACAGACAGAGGAAGTAAAAACACCTGCAGGGGAGTGCAGGGCTAGTAAATAAACTGTCTCAAAATATGGAGTCAAAAAAAGGATGGAAACTATACAAGTAGACCTCCTCTTTCAGGAGAAGTTTGTGTTTGATATACAAATTCTGAAAAAGATGCAAAGATGTTAAATACTACTGGCTGTAAGCTGAACAGGTTCACAAAATATTCCTAGACCCTGTATCAGCTGCAACCAAATATAAACACCTTCAGATGAAACCACAGTGCGAGACGGAAGTGAGCAGCGGGAGAGTGAATACACGCAGAGTGAGAAAGGGATATGGACATGAAACAGGGAGAAAAAAAATATGCATATATAGGTAGAGAAACTAGAAAGGAAGGAGGAGGATGGAAAAGAGGAAGAATTGAGAAGAAAATGCGACACAGCAGCAGGAGGGCGGAAATCCAGGTAGAAGAGGGGAAAGGAAAAAATTGCGGGTATGAAAATAAATAAAGACAAATGTGTCGGGAGGATAAAGGAGGAGGGAGCCTGACAGGAAACAACAGGAAGAGAAAGATGAGTCGGAAAAGAGAGGACCGAAAGTTAGCAGCAGATCTGAGTCAGGAAGAGCATAAGAGACACAACAGGAGGGGGAAAAAGGGAGAATCGGATGTTTTGGTGAGACTGTGGATGTTTCTTTCATGGGGGAAGGATGGATGAGGAGCTATACTCTAAGAATGTTGTCTTCATACACACGCCTCTTTTCCTCCTCACTCATCTCCTCATTCCTTCCTTCATCTGTCTGTAACCAACTGTAGAAGACGCAATCTGTCTCTCTCGGTGCCATTTTCAAGCCGATGGTTGTAATATTAAACTGCAGCAGGAGGATCCGACTCGAAAACACTTTTGGTATCATTACGCTGCAAGTGCGGGTATAATATCCTTGCTAAAGTGAAAAATGGGGATTCCTAAAGATATTAACATCCAGTTTTACCCTTTCCTTTCAAGTAGTTTATCTAATTCCACACTATTAGACCGTATCTCATGTACTCTTAGTGAAGAATTCAAACCTAAGAATCCATGTTTTATAGCCTCATGATCCCTTTGTTTTTTGAAACTCTGAGAGGTCCACTGGAATTTAAAATAAAGATTTGTGGGTTTGACTGCACACCATAAGTTTGTATGTGCGGTGGGGTTGAAGACAGGTGGATGTGAGGAGAAAGAGAGACTGGAGACAGTAAAGTAAGAGGATGGAAACTGCTCTGCACGCATGTTGCAATATCTTGAAGAACAAAGGCAGGAAGTCACGAAACTGGCAAACAGGGTTAAATGAAGAAGAGAAAATGAGGACAAGAGATCATTGTGTCGTGGAAGCCGAGAATAACACAGCAAAGGGATGAAGGACTTTTTCCGCCATCTGTTTCAATTACATAGAAGCGTACAACACTGCCCTCCTCTCTCCTCCCTTCATCCTGTTTCTCCCCATCTCTCCACTTGGATTTCCCTCCCTCTCTCCCTCTCTCCTGTGGCAGGGAAGCATAACAGCAACGCACCACTTCATATCCACACACTGACACAGCTTGAGACCTGGAAACTGCCTCATGTTGATGTCAAACATGACTCTGTGGCACTTACGGAAAGAAAAACTGTTATCTCCCCTTAACAGAAATCACAGACCCCAAACCAGCAACCTCTCAGTCCCAACCCAAACCTCTCCAACCTGCATACAACCGCTTTTCTCTCTCACACACCTTCACACTCTGGCGGGGTGTGAGAGCACAAAAATGTGGCTCAGTCCCAGGATGCTCATCATGCTGCACTGAGCACTAAATTAACCAGAACGAAAACAGATAACCTTGTTTTATGCACACGGTGGATGAACTGGCTTCTAATAGTGGCGATAATGCTTCTTTCTGCCCACTGAGGATAAAAACACACAGCTGAGACCTCTCACTGCCAAACACACAGCTCTGTGAATTACAAACCCTCTCTGCAGCAGTGTCAGAAAATGCAAAGCTTTCCAGGAAGAAGTGAGATCAGTAAAACACGTGTTTAAAACATGGTATAATAAATAAGACGAGGGCCTTGCATAAAAGTTATATCCTACATATTAGACATGGTTTGCTTTACAGCTACTGCAAAAATAACGACCTTAATTATTGTTAGAAGTGATCAAGTTATTATAAATACGCTAATATTTAATGATTATTCACATCATATCGCCTTAATTATCCTTATTTCTCTTTAACAACCGATAACTGATGCGCAACCAATAGGCGCAAAACCGCACAGCCCTACAACAAAATCCTAGAAAACTGCACTTATAGTAAGTAAATGAGACACACTGCGCAAATGTCTTATTCCAGAAATCAGAGGGTTTGCAATTTCCCAGGCTGAATGACAGAGGGATGAAACCCCATTTTACAGCCGCCCCTCCGGGTCTGTGCTGCCCGGACTCGCTCCGTCTCCTCCGGGGAAAGTAAAAAAGCGCACAGCCCGCTCACCTTCTCCGGTTGTCCCGTACGAGCTGGAGAGAAGCAGGACGACCTGAGCGATAATCCCAGCGACTCTTTTAGTCCCAAAATCCATGATGATGAAGCGGCGGGAAGGCTGCAGAGAAGCCCGGCGGCTGCTGGAGGAGAGAGACGGCCAACCTCTCCTCTCCAGCTCCAAGAGAGATCTCCTCAAACCCGACTGAGGGGAGAGAGGGAGGAAGGAAGGAGGGAGAGGGAGGGAGAGGGAGAGAGAGAGATGGTATAAATATGTGGTCACTGCTCCAACTTCAGTGCGCCTCCTCCTCCTCCTCCTCCTCCTCCGAAAACCCCCTCTTCAGTCACTGTGTTGAATAAAAGCGGTCTCCAGACCCTCTGCAATGCCAAACTGGGTCCTCCACTTCATCTTCTACTGAGTGTGCTGCTGACAACTAACCAGCGACAGGTCACCATTTACAATCCATCACCCAGGACACAGTCTTGACTGACTGGTACAAACCAAGGTGACAAATTCTAGTGTGGTATTTTGAAAAAGTCTGTATCTCTAGATGATATTTCAACATGATAACTATTCCCAAGTGGCATCTTATTCACAGTTATCAACCTTCAATGACACCAACTGTCGATACAAAGAATGAAAAAAATCTTGTCACACTGAAGAACTCTACCTCTTTCATCAACTTTACTATAGTGACCATCATCACTATCATCAAAACTTCAGATTATACTTTAATACTACAGCCCACTTATCGGAGGAAAGTGTTGGCATATGTTTCTGCCGACACATTCTCACCCTGACCTCCTCACATATTGATGTTTGGTCATGGACTTTCGTGCAAGCTACCCTGGGTGCTTTGATTGTTGATGTTTTGGGACACCCAGTCAAGTTCTGCCTGTTACTGCATTGTCTTCTTTCAAAATACACCTCTGCTTTCAGAGGAAATTTAACATTTACATACAGACTCTTTCAGAATAAAAGCACTACAACAGAGCAATTAGACTTTTTTTCCCTTCAACATCAAAAACGTGGTTAAGTTTAGGCAACAAAAACATGTGGTTTGGTTTAGGAAAAAAGAACAGGGTTTGGCCTTAGAATCTTTCGGGATTCGAACACTGCTCTCTCGGGTGAAAGTTGGTGTTTGTTGGACCCATTCACCTCCCCTCCTGTCCACCCCTGTTGGACTTTTGCTGCCTTAACTTTCATCCTTGTTCCCACCAGACGCTGTTAAACTATAACGGCAACCGGCCTCTTATCAGTACAACGCTAAAGGATGCCTTTTTCCGTTGGTTTCTGACACCGCAAGTCACTGGCCATGTGACTTTCTACGACTTCAGTGTGAGACTGGGCTCTTTCTGCAAACTGTGAATACATTCTGTTTGTACCATTCATACATATCATCGTAGCAACGTTTCATAAAAGACGCAGTATAAACTGACTTTATCATCAGAAGGTGTAGGGGATGGTGGATGGAGTGACACCAACGTGAGACATTGGCCAAGCTGCAGACAAATGCACAAGATCCACAAACACGAAAACCGGTCGTTTTTTAACGAGTCATTGCTGCGTTTCCATCAATGAAAGTGCTACGAAAAGCGGTTGTTTTTAACCAAGACACCGTTGCATTTTTTGCCAGGTTGGTGCAATAAAAAGCATTTATTTTTTTACACAGTCACTGTGTGTCCAACCAGGATTGTGCCATACCCATACTGGGTATTTTAAGCCAAAACATGATTTTTTTTCCTAACCATAACCAAGTGGTTTTTATGCCTAAACCTTACCACACGTTAGCTAAAGTGTTGCTGAAATGTAAAGAAACATAAAGCTTCCATCTCCACTACATAAAACATACAATGTATCTGTCATATTATCCTGGTGACCGGGTTGCACACTAATATCCTTTCTCAAGTATTCATACCCTGTTTATTCATTACCATCTTCATTATGATCATTGTAGCCAACCAGTTTGACAACAACTTCTTCATCCTTCCCCTCTTCCCTCTGATTGCTGCAGGTCTGCAGCTGGCACATTGCTTTGCACTCTAGTTTGCTGGCAATGCAGGAGCAGTCTGGAAGCTTACAGATCTGATCACATGCACCTGGCTATAGTAGCTGGGGGTCACCACATGCAGTCTAACATCAACATACCTGGAAGACTAAGGGGAAAGATATTTCTCATCCATTTCAGGGAGGAGCCCAAATGTCCAGAAATTTCCGTTATATATTTATACTATCTCATTATTAGAGCAAGATGGTACTTTTATTTATTGTGTTTATTAAAATCATACCTTTGTCATCAGCTGCCCATCCATGCTGAACCATGACTCCATCGCTCTGCATTCTTGACATTTTTTCAGCATATATCAAACACTACTATTGACAGACCGTTTCCTCCTTTGTGCAATGCTAGGTTAAGCACAGAACCAGCAGTCTCTCCAAAATCTTGCCATCACCTTTCAGTCTCTGAGCAAGGCTCATTTCATCAATGATGCATGCAGTGTTCTCCAATATCTTAAACTGCTGATGCTGATTTCTCTAACTCTCTTGTAAGAGCTGCCCTGATAGTTTTTCTTTAAAGGTTCTGTATGTGATATTCAGAGCATTAATACAGCAGCAAACCACTATTTGAGTTGTAAAGATGAAGTGGAGTAATGGTGTCCTAAGCAGAGAATGAAGGCACTCTCCCTCTGTGTGTGCTGTAATCTGAGCTTCTCTGTGGTTTGTTGTGGTAAGACGGTTCGGCCATGCATCTGAATGTTTGTGCATGTGTGTGTCCCACTGGCTAGCTAATCATCGCTGCTCTGCACTGTGCTTACATGGTGATTACCACTGATACTGGGACGATATTGTCGTGGGAGGATAACGCCCACCCTCTGGTTTCCCCCTTGTTAGCACCTTAGCTCAGTCAGCACTGTTGCCATTGTATAACGCTGTTCATGGAGTTAGAACTGTTAGTTGCTCGACACCAGCTCAGCCACCTCCACATTGAGAACCATGTACAAACCAATCATACGCTCTGAATTTAGCATAGAGCCCCTTTAAACATTACATCAGAACATAAATAACTTGTAACTTTTAAAAGATTTATTTAATTATCGTTATATTGGCCCATTTTTAAGATATAAATTATACCTCTAGGCTACTATGTATATTTGATCATCCTTGCTTACAGAATGCAGACTACATTATTTATTTTTATGCAGACTACATTATGTGACACTGAACCTACAACCTTTCCTGGTTCTAGAACTGTTAATGATGCCATTTAGTTTGAAATCTAAACAAAAATACTGCACTCTCTGAGCAAAATGGCTGCTGCCAGCTATTTCCCCTCTATTCATGACAAAACAGCAGAAAACAAGAAAACCTGGGCACTTTTTGACCCTAAACCCACACAGCTGAACTTTCTGACCAGCAGTTCCTCTACAGACTCTTTTAACAAGGACTGCAAAGCTGGCGCCAATCATAACAGCTCAACCAGTCAGCAGGTTGAAGCTAAAGCAGCCTGGACGGCATCGGGGTGTTTGGCAGTGCCTGATTACCAGCCTCTTGAGGTCTTCAGCATGACAGCAGAGGTTCCTGGTTCAGCTTCATGGAGCGAGGAAGACGAACTGTGTGAGCTTAACATCAGGCTGAAAGAAATCGAGTTACGCAACATGATAGGAGACACTCCTGGCATCCCGCAGTGTAAGTAGACATTCATAATAATTACCTGTGCTGCTATCAGACAGTTTAATAGCGCACTTTAGAGCCAGGGGGGTCAGTAGAGCTGGTTGTTGTGCATTTTTTAATGTGGATTATCATCAGTATAACTATCATTCAGTCATGATCAATAGAGTTAGAAAGGTTAACGATCTCTTCAGCTCATTTGAGTCTGCTTCTCAGGACAAATGCCATGTACTGGAAAAGAGATTTTGAAGAACAGAAGTGATGCTGTAATTTGTATATTTCTATTCAAGTTTAACTATGCACTAATATTTATTTTCTGTCTGTCTCTCTTTCTTTCAGTTAAATTTGTGAGGAACATCAGGTGCTACAAAACAGCCAGGCAGATGAGGAGAAAACCAGTGGGAATAGCAAGAAGACATTGTTTTTAGTGGACTTAGTTACTTGTTTATTTTAACAAATAAATACTTGACAATGTTCTAAACCACAATCAACATAGTTGTTAAAGGTGTCTAATTTATGCACTGCTCTGAGTGGCTGATGTCAGTGTCATACAATATGTGCAGCATACAGGTTGCATGTTATAATATTCTGCTTTCAGTTAGTTGTTTTCAGACGAACTTTTGTTCCCTTTGATGCTCCGAGTAAGTGCTCCACCAAATTTTTTTCTTCTTTGTAGTTATTAACCTATGTAATCAGAATAGCAATGTGAGTCTACAGATTTCAAAAACAATATTTTTCTGGCCATGTGACCCCAGTTAGCAGCTAATGGTGCTAACTATGGCAACAGCACTAAACAACTGCAAAAACGCTGACACAGTTGACACAATGACCAAGAGGAAACTGGAGGGTAGTCGCGATGCTTCTCTGACGGCGCTGTCCTGATATCCTGATAACCAGTGTATGAGCGCAGTGCAAAGCTGCGGTGATGATATAGCCAGTGGATTACACACATGATAATAATATTACTTTTTCCAGTAACGAGTAGTGTAACTAATTACTAATGAAAGTTCAGTAATAACGTTACAATTACTCCAAAATCAAACAACTCGTTACAACGTTGCTTTTGTTCTCACATCAATACTAACGTGAAATACAACAATCACATCAGCTGACTCATTTTCGTAATCGTCGTTGCACGTCATAAAGCAGCAAGCTAGTTGGCGGCTGGAAATATTCCCATTACTTTGGTTTTGTCAGGAGGAAAGATGACAAGAACACTGTTGCAGCAGGGAGTCCGACTGAAACTTTTTCTACTGCAAAAAAAAAACCTCCCCAAACCTCCAGTCTGAAACACCTCAGCTACTAACAACACAACAAAAATGAAGCTCCAGGAAAGACACCCCACCAAAGGTGAGCCCTCCTCAGCTGTAGCCCTACACTGGCTACACAACCAACACTGGATTTTAATTGTGGACAGCTGCTGCTGCTACAAAGAAGTGATGAGGCTTGTGGCTTGATATGTGGATGAACTTTTAGGCAGAGCCTTTGGAAAATACTAATCTCAGGCAACAGAAAGCCCCCAAAGTAAACAGAAGCTCTCTAGCATTAGCTACACTTAACAGCGATTACCCTGATATTCACACAGAGGCAAACATCTCAATC